ACTTGAAATAAAAATTAAAAGCTGGGGAACTTAAACTTAGGATAAAAAAAAAAAACAACTAAAAAACAATATTATGTACTCACAAAACTAACTAAATAAAATTGAAAATATACAAGAAATGTCTTTAGAAATAGTCAATTTGATCAAATTTCTCAACACAACAGTGGCATCAAGCGTGTGTCTCAGCTTTCCATTAATTCCCAGTAATTCCAACACTGTTTATGGTCCCCAGAAATATGCAGAACTATTTAAATACACAAGGTAAAAGTCACACATTTACACCACGTACAAACTGCTTATTTTTCCCCCAGAACTGCCTCAGCATGTCAGTAACAAAGCATGGATTTGTTTGAATAGGTCGATATTTCTATTCTATTCTATTTAATGGCATATGCTTTTATTTATTGAGTCATTTCTTTCTTTTTTATATTGGCAGCTTTGGTCCTCCGTAGTACTTTCATTGTTGGTCTTTATATCCTTCCTCTCCAACCGTTAAGATAAGATAAAATGTTCCTTTATCGATCCCCCCTGTGGGAGAAATTAAAAACTCTTCTTCATCTCCAACAGTCCTGCTGTAAACACTAAGGTCTGTTGGGTGGTTCAAAAGGTCAGAGGTCATACCAGGTGTGTGTAACAACCTTAACTTGCAGCAGCAGTTTAGACAAAAGGCTGCAAATATTAATCTGCAGAAACTGAAGCTATACTGCCCCTAGAGGCTAACATGTTCATTTCACCTCACAACATCGTCAGAAACAAACAACTTACTGATTATTTAGTTGCTTTTGGAGTAATTCTGGCATTCGGGATATTAACTGTAAACTCTGTCCTAAAGGTTGGGACTAGAGAGGGTCAGAGGTCACCAGATCACTGTTATTGATCCTCTGGGGAGCAGGAATATCCAAAGTACGTGTAAATCTCATGCTGGAGAGGCTCGTCTCTCCGTAAAGGAGAGGTTGTGTGATAGACAGCAGCTGTCGGGCCGTCCACCGCCTCACAGCGTGAATGTGAGAGTGATGTCATCACTGTGGGACAGCAGGCAGCGAGATAATTAAAAAGAGTAATCTCCTCCCCCGTGTCCGCAGTGAGCCAGGCAGGACCGTACGGCCCAGATGGTCAGCCAATGGGAGGCTTCGTTATGGACGGACAGACACACATGGGAATCAGACCACCTGGTAA